GTTGGAGGTTCTGGAGGACCTGAAGAGACCAGTTGTTGGAGGTTCTGGAGGAACTGAAGAGACCAGATGTTGGAGGTTCTGGAGGATCTTAAGAGACCAGTTGTTGGAGGTTCTGGAGGAACTGAAGAGACCAGTTGTTGGAGGTTCTGGAGGCTCTGAGACCAGTTGTTGGAAGTTTAGGAGGATATGAAGAGACCAGTTGTTTGAGATTCTGGAGGACCTATAAGACCAGTTGTTGGAGGATTTGGAGGATCAGAGGATACCAGTTGGAGGTTCTGGAGGACCTAAGGAGACCAGATGTTGGAGGGTTTGGAGGATATTAGGAGACCAGTTGTTGGAGGATCTGAGGAGGCCAGATGTTGGAGGTTTTGGAGGATCTGAGGAGGCCAGATGTTGGAGGTTCTGGAGGACCTGAGGAGACCAAATGTTGGAGGTTCTGTAGGACTTGAGGAGACCAGTTGTTGGAGGTTTAGGAGGATCTGGGGTTAGCTCCAGCTGTTTAACTGTTTTTACAGCTTTTTGTTGCCCATGCCCATTTTTTAGATGTTTGCTGACATCAAATTTAAAATTTCCTTATTTTTAATAAAAAACAGGTAAAAATGTCTTAGTTGAAACTCTTGAAATACAAACTATGTTCCACTGTGAATAAAATATGAGTTTGTGAGATTTACAAATCATTACATTCTTTTTTTATTTATTTATTATTATTTACATTTTACACAACGTCCCAGCCGTTTCAGAGTTGGGGTTGCATTCAGAGTTTAACTTCACGTGCGTGTTCATTGACCTGCGTCGATATCTGCGAGGTTCTGCACGCTGAGGTTGGACAAGCAGCTGCTGACTCGGTTTCTGATCCACGTTGTCGGCTGAGAAACACAAATCACCAACACGTCAGCCTCCAAAAACAAGCCCAGTGATGGATTTACACTGACTGACATTAAGTTACCTCGTCCTCCTGGGAAATGAGAATTTGTCCATTTTCAAGGACGCAGTTGCAGATGTCCCATATGGGGACCTCCTGAGGCGGGGCCCAGTCTAGTCTTGGAAGTCCAGTGGGTGCAGCTGGCGTCGGTTCAGCCTCCCCCACATCTGACACACAAACAAGTAAAATCATTATAGTTGCTTGTCGTCTGCTGGGCGATACAAATGATAGCTTGTCTCACTTTGAAGAGCTGATTGTGATGTTTTAAAATGTGCATCGTGGTGTCGAGACATGCGCAGATTTTATTGTTTATCACTTTGTATTTCTGGCCCAGTCGCTCCCATTTTACAGATAAAATCTGGTTTCTAGGACACGAGGAGTGTTTCCTGTGGTTCCTTTGTAGCCGTCTTAACCTCACGACCCTCGTGACAGAGTTTCTGTGTTTACGTTTCAGTTTTTTTTTGTCAGTTCTACAACCACATGAGAAAAATAAAATGATTCATAATCAGGTCTGACTCTGTGGTGACGGTGGCAGAGAAGACTGAGGACAAACTGCAGGACGTTGTGGACGATGTCACGCTCCGTCATCAGCGACCAGAGGAGCCTGCAGAGACAGACTGTTCCTGGACCAAGAGACTGAAGAACTCCTTTGTCCCTCAACTCCTCACTGGGGGGGTGGGGGGTGACAGGAGGTCAGAGGAGCAGAAGGAGCAGCCACCGCCTTAAAATAGCCAGTTTACAGTCTAACAATTAAGTCAGGACCTTTGGATGGAAGCAAAACGTAAAAAAATAAATAATAAAATATAAATAAAAAAAAATATATATATATATTTTTTTTTGGATCAGAAAAACCCGATACGTAAATTATATTGGTATCGGATCAGCCCCATCCCTATTTTCTACTTTTGCTTTTAACTATCTTTTTGCAACATTTTCCTATTTTCATAGTTTTGACATTTAACTTTGTTTATTGCTGCTTTTAAATTTTTGTCAGCATTTTGTTGATACTTACTTCTAGTTAACATTTTATACTTTTAGCTTTCAACTAGCCTTTTGCTACTTTTAGCTAGACTTTAGCAACTCTTGGCCTTTTAGTAGCATTTTGCTACTTGCAGCGTTTGACAAGCCTTTTGATACTTTTAGCTCATAACTTCAGTTTTACTACTTGAAGCGTGTGTTTTTACCACTTCCCTTACCGTTAGCTTTTAGCTAATGTTAATTCATTTTAGTATTTTTGCTAGTAATTTGGGGAAGTGGTGGCACAGAGATTAGCCGGTTCGACTCCTTGGACCAACAACATCAAAGGTGAAGCTCCCAAACCTGCCTCCACCCTCATTTGCCCCACTCTGGGCCCTTGAGCAAGGCCCTTAACCCCCACCCTCTGCTCCCCCGGGCACCCTAGATAGCAGCTCTGCTCCACACAGAGGGCTGTGGTTGAGTCAGGAAGGGCATCCGGCATAAAAACAATCACGTCTTGGTGTGAGTTATTTCACTGTGGTGAACACTGAGGAAGGGAGCAGCCAAAAGAAGAAGAACATGCTTGTTATTTTAGTTACCATAGTTTTCAGCATTTTTGAGCTTTTAGCTAGCATTCTGCTTCTTTTAGCTTTTAGCTTGTACCTGCTCAAGCTGACTTCAGTCCAGACCTCTGGCAGAGGAAAGTTGTAGATCAGCTCAAACTTGGAACAAAACGTCAAGATTTATAGTTTTTCTTTTGTTTTTTCTTATTGTTTTCTTTATACTCCAGTTTTTTCCCAGCATCCCCTGTGCCTTCACTTCACCCTGCTCCTCAGCTCCTGCCCCGCCCACTCACACCTGTTCTCAGTTGTCATTTTGCCCAGGTGTCTCCACTCATCAACCCCTGCCCATAAAGACCCTCAGCTTTCATTCATCTTTAGTCTGGCATTGTGTATGTTACCATGTCTGGTTCTCCTCCATGACTCCTTGAGTTGTTCGTTTGCAATTTGCCTTAAAAAAAATTAAAAATTCTTTGTTTGTTAATTTTTTTACTCAAGCTCGTCACGTTTGGCTGCATTCCTGGATCCTTAACCGTGACACAAAAAGCACATGACCTTAATATTTTACTTGTGGGGGGGGGGAATAGTTCAGATGACACAAAACACGACGCAAATGTTTCCTGCGTAATTTTTGTAATGTTTTCAACCATCGGTAAAAACGTGGTAAATTTATGTTTGTAAGCTTTCGGCTGAAATCCTGTTTTTCTAATAAAAATAAAAAGATGAATCAGATCATCTGCAGAAGACAAACGCATGTCTTCTGTTTAAAAAAAAAAAAAAAGAAGAAGAAAGAAAGCCGTTGTTGTTTGGAAACTGTAGGCCTGAGATCCCTCCTCTCCTCCTCCTCTCCTCCTCCTCTCCTCCTCACAGCTTTACAGAACTCTGCGTTCTCCACAAGCTCCGGTTTTATCAAATAAACGTAAGAACGTCTCCCTGTTTGCTGTGACCTTCATACAATCAAGGCTTTTGTCGATGCTCTTAACAGTAAAAATGTGAAATCTGATTTATGTTTTCTTTTTCGTCACAACTTTCTGTTAAGTCATTTAGTCATGAAAGCTCACTCAGCAGAGGGGCACTGTAATTTTTAGGTTTTATGCTTTTTTTATCAAAAGAAATACAGTTTTATTTTGAAACATTCCCCCCATTGAAACGCACTGAGATCTCTTCACTTCTTTCCAAAACAATCGGCTTCAGGGTACTGGCTCTGTTTGTATTTATTTATTATGCTACTTTTAATTTTTAGCTACTGCTACCTGTCTGCTTTTTTTTTTTAGCTTTTAGCTGTTCTGTTATTTTTAGTTTCTAGTTAGCTTTTTGTTACTTTTACCTTAAGTTTTCAGTTAGCATTTTAATAAATGTAGCTTTTAACTGGTGTTTTGTGACTTTTACCTAGTTAAGATTTTATTTTATATTTTTTATGTTTATTTCTTGTATTCTACTTCTTTTAGTCTAGCTAGCATTTCACCATTTTAGCTTTTATCTTGTGTTGTGCACCTTTTAGTTTTTAGCTAGTGTTCATCTTGTTTTATATTTAACAACTCATTTTTTAATTTCTCGGGAAACTAGCGTCATTCATTCAGATTTCATTTGAACAGAAAGTGCTAATCTCGTGTTCTCTTTTAGCTAAATGGGTGAAATTCAGCTAAAATAAAAGAGCTCTCAGTTCAGATCTCGGCGCAGAAACATTTTACATTTCAGATTTGATCAAACAACTCTGTCTCTGAACATACGAGACAAATCTTTATGGGGACCTCCCTGTGTTTGAATATAAGTTGATAACAATCAACGCTTTAGAT